GCAAGACTTTGTAATAAGCACCTAGCTTTTGACTTTGGCATTTCTCTGAAAAACAGAAATGGAAAACCAGAAGCTTCCATTGCTTTTACGTGGAACTGCTGATGACTTTGAAAACTGCCAGCTGCATGACTGCACTGACTCAGAACAATGTGATTACTGCAGTTAGGTGAATCCAAGCAGCACACCTCCATCCTTGGGTTCAGCTGGAGCTTTCTGATTTGTTACACCACTTTGACTTCATGTCCCTTGGAGAACAGGCAAGTTATGTGTCTGCTGCAGCTCTCTGTTATTCTGGATGCAGACAGATTCTGGGATCACGTCTCTTGTGAAGAGAAATCTCAGGCTGTTAATATTCTAACTCACAGTATTCAAACTGTGATCCATTCATACTCAGTCTACCAACAGTGTAAATCAAACCTCTCCTTGGCTTGACTAAGGAAAGCTGAATACACATTAAAGGCAATCATATAAGTTGGAAAAAAACACCAAGATCATCAAGTCCTACCTTCAACTGAATACCACCTTGTCAACTAAGCCATAGCACTGTCATGTACAGTTGTTTCTTGAACACTTCCAAGGATGGTGACTCCACCACTTCCCTGGACAGCCCATTCCAATGCTTAACCCCCCTTTCAGTGAAGAAATTCTTCCTGATGTCCAACCTGAATCTCTCCTGGCTGTTTCCTCTCATTCTGGTTGGCTGGGAGAAACCAAGCCCCACCTGGCTACAAACCCCTTTCAGGCAGTTTGTAGGGAGTGATAAGGTTTTTCCTGAGCCTCCTTTTCTCCAGGCTAAACAACCCCAGCTCCCTCAGCTGGTCCTCATAGACTTATAGACTTTCTAGAACCTTCACTAGCTCTGTTACCCTTTATTGGAGTCACTCCTACAAGTTGTGTTCTACCTTATTTTGTCTCCCCTGTCTTGCTGGGAAGGCAAGTGATAGACAGGCTTGGCAGGTACCTGGTGTCCAGGTCAACTCACCACAACTGGTCAGGTTTTAATGCTATGAGCTCCAACTCTGGCATCCCCTGATACACTAGCCTAGAAAACTGGATTTGCCTTCACAGCAAAATTAATGGTTTCAATGTATCTGGACATAATCCACAACACAATTTGTAAGTGAAAACAGATACAAGTTAAGTAATCTCACACACCACTAAAGCTACAGCTTGATGTAAGCTTTTGTTACATTTGGAAAAATTTGCTGAGTAGCCAGTAACCATACATTTAAGCATTTGCAAATGTTTTAGCCTTTTATTTTTTTAAATACAACTTAGTTGAATTGTTCAAAATAATGAATAGCAAAGATGGACTCAGGTGCTAGGTCTGAAAATGTCAACAGCAAAATTTCTACAGTTTGCTGAAAATTTTGAGGGTTCAGATTAGCTGTGGTTTACCTATTTCCACCAATTTTACATCGAGGTTCTAAAGAAGAGCAGTATTAGACCAAATACTCTAAATATTCTGTTCAAAGAATTCTATATCTAATAATAAATTTTAGAACTTTCAGGACTTCAAAGGCATAAAATATACTGAATGTAATCTGAAGAGGAAATTCTAAAAATTAAGAGTTGACTTTTCATGGTATTAGCAAAAAACATGGTAATGAAATTGCTTCCACTTTCTAGTAGACTTTATAATCAATATTTAATTATTTATAAGATTTTAGGGATATATCCTAATCCAAGTAGATAAAATACCAAGTGTGGAAATATCAGTGTATCTTAACTTTTTTCAAAATATTAAAGTACAATAGAAATACATTGCTATTTCAAACTTCTGCTGGTGTGAATAAACACAGTGACTAGCATATAAAATTTTTGTTCCAGTCAAGACTTCAGGATAGACAATTCTTTTTATCAAACAGTTGAAAGTGAAGACATCATAGATAGCTGGGTCTGTATAACTGTTAGCCAATGATTCAGCTTCTATACAACAAAACTATACCAAGAAATACCACGGTCTTTAATTACGTGGTTGAACACTATGACGGTTCAACTAGTTCTTGTGCAGCAGGCACAGCAACAGAACTGTCCTAGAAAGCTGAGTATCTGTTTGAATTAAATGAGCGTTTGGGGTGAAGAAGCAGTCTTTTCAGTGAAAGTTTGCCTTTTTTACTACAAGTATCCATACCAGTTCAATTCTTTCTATCTACATGTCATCCCATACCACACAGTTCCCTTTCACCTTTCTTTATGGCATAATTCATCAGTACAACTGTACTTAACTGAAGAAACTTGCTGATTTGGACACATCAATATCATACCTGTGTCTAGTTGAGTCAGCAGCAATGTGGTAACCCTGTCTGGGAACAGCAAAGCAGCAGGACTAAGCACTGACAGTTGTTGCCTGTTCTTTAAAATTTGCTGTAATCAAGCCCAAAGAAGTTCATCCATCTCACAAACTTCTCAATCAGGGATGAATTAAATTAGAAAAATAATCTAGTCAACATGGCTGTATAAGCAATACAAGGCTTTAGTTTCCCCAACAGTCTTTCAAGTTACTTATTACTTCCCTGAAACAGTGGCTTTAACTCATTGCTTGCAGGTGGTGATTCAGATTGTTCTGAAAAAAACAGAAACAACAGAAAAAAAGATTAAAGTTTACAGAATAATTTCAACCATGAAAGGTAGCTAAAATTTTTGGTTTCTTTCTCATGGCAAAATACATATAAATTCCACTACTTTTCATTTTGAATTAACAAGATAAACATGCTACCTAAGAAATTTGTAGTATGATGCAGATCTGTATCCCAAAATGAGGAGATTATGGATTTACATGTGGAATGGGTTGTAGCTCCTGCCTGATGTGTCTAGGACTTACTCTGTTCAAGTGAGAACAGAGAAAGCTCCATCTCAAGAGGGAGCTGCAAGGTGCTCATGCTGCCAATTGCTTTGGATGAAGTAAGTACAGAGGTGGGGAAAAAAGTAAAAGCACTACCTTCAGCAATCACCTAAAAGAATGAAAATGACAAGGTCAAAACTGAATGAAGATACATATCTGGATGAAACCATTTTGTTAAGAACATTAAAAGCAATCTCCTTTTACATTGAGTTACAGAACCAATCTCAATTGGAATAGCTATGATTGCAAACAAAGGCAATAGAAGCAAAGCAGGTATCATGTTATCAAAAAATTTGAGAAAGAAAAGCAACTCAAAAATTAGATGGATGTGTATGTCAATCACACTGACTTTTCAGCAGCCTTTACAGTGTACCCATACTTTTCTTCTCTATTGCCTAAGAGGTATAACCAAACCAACTTCATGCTTACTCTGAAAAATCTTCAAGTTTTCTTTATATCTCTAATGAGATGTCTCATTAGAGGCACACACATTAAAAAAATCAACTATCACCACATTAATGAAATTGAGATTTTGAAATCCCCTTTAATTTTACTTACAGTAATGGGAAAGAAAAATGTCAGCACACAAGAAAGTTAAATAGAATCTGAAAACAAAGAAGAATATTCAAGGTTTTCTTTCATGCTGAGGAAGAGCACTTCTAGACTACTGTCATGGAGTTACTTTACCTTTAAGAAAATTTAAGTTGCTGGGAACTGCCTGGAGTCTTTTCTCCTGACCAATTATCGGTCATTGCTGAGAATTGACAGCAGTTTAGGCCATTGAAAAGTGGGATCAACTTGTGAACCCTACCTTAAAGTGTAAAACCAGAGCTCTCTTGGTTCTCTTTGTTTCCTGGCTGGGAAGGGTGGCAGAGCTCCAGGCCTCCCGTTCCCTGCCCAGGCCGTGCGGCCGGGCGGGGACTGGGCTGGGCCCAGCGTCTCCCAGCCGGGGAGATGCGGGCCCTGCGGAAAAAGTTTCCTCCGGGCTCTGGCCGGGCCGGGCCGAGCCGATCTCTGGCTCGGCTGCAGGTTTTTTGCTGTAACTAAATTCACTAGAAACTGCTGAGTGAAGAAGGAGAGAGGCTCTGGACCTGCAGCGGGCTGGGCGCGGCAACTACGCTCTCCAGAGCAGCCATGAGGAACTTTCCATCGCAGACGGCTCCAGCTCCTGCACCGGCCGAGGCCACAGAACTACCTACAACAGCTTGGGCAAGATTTTAACTCTTTCATTACCCAGATGAGACTTGCGGATTAATCTTTTTATCCAGAGAGAGAAAAAGAGAGTGATCAACATGAAAAGAGACTTTATAAACTACCAGTGACAGGAAAGAAAAGAAGCTTCAGAAAAGGTAGAGAATTAAGAAGATGCTTTAATTAAGCTGAAATATCTTTCTGTTAAAACTATGGAAATGGACAATAAGGTCTTGAAAACACTCCTTTAATTCATGACAGTATATAGGGAGGAATAGAGTGTTCAAAGTGTAAATTTTGAGTAAAAAGTAGAGTAATTATGGTACAGTGAAGTGCTGGAAGATTTGAAGCCTTGAGAGGCAATGAGAAAACTGTTTTCTGGTGAAGCTCACGGAAACAGATGAAGAAGACTTTTTGCCTTTGAATAACTTATCCTTAAAAATCCCATCCCTAGACTCATGGCCCATACACACTTCAGAGTGATGTGAAAATGGGAGGAGTGGGCTCTAATAATAGCAGCTCTGGGCAGCTAACATTAGGGCAATGGAAAACTATAACAAAAATAGTTTTTCTTGTGAGAAACTCCATAAATTAACAGGAAGAAACTTCTGTTTCTCTATAAAGACTGGTGAAAAGACTGTAGCAAGAATTGGGACTGTTTTAACCATCAAAGTTCCAAAGTTTTTGTCTCTTTTGTCATGTGAACAAGGGAATAGTGGGTAGACGGGATGAAAAGGTTTTTCTGGAAGTTATTCTGGTGTTCTTATTGTAGTTTGTCAATAAACTTTCTTTTTTTCCTTTTAAGTTTTACGCCTGTTTTGCTCTTGTTCTAATCCATATCTCACAGCAAGAAATAAGTAATTTTCTTAGTTATTGGTTTAAAACCACGACAACTACATGGTTGAATTGTTGTGTCACTGAGCCTCTCAAAGCAGCATCCTCTTCATGATCAGAGTTTGGATGCTTAAGTTAACTCGAAGAGTGGAGTGAAGGTTATGCATTCTCCTTTAGATTCAGACTGAAATCTGGCTTCATCCTGTGGAGGAATGGCTAGAGAGCAAAGGTCATATTCCCATGCAGCAGTTAGCTGGGAAAGAGTTAGACAATGGAGTACAGTTGGTGTGAGATGTTGCAAAGTCAGGAAGGCCTTAGTGATAACTGTTAACTGAGAACAGGATGCTGTGATCAGAAGAATGTGAATTCAGCATAGATGAGCGATCACAGGAATGTAGAATTAGGTGGAGTTGACCTTAAATGAAATATCCAATAATGAGCTTTCTTTTGCACTATGTATGAGCCTAATTACTGATGTTATATAAGTGGTTTTAGAGTTGCTAATAAACGAGACTTGCTGACCATGAGAGCATGAGGCTTGTCTTCCGCGGCTCCGGTAAATCCCGACATCATCCCTCAGTTTTACGACATTTTTTCTTCTGAACAAAACCACACAATTTCTAGTTCTCTGTTTTCTCCTAATACTCACCTGGAGGAAGAGTTTTTTCGCACCAAATATATATATATATATATATACACCATAGATACATTAATGTAAGACACAAAGACGAATTCAGACAGAGCTGAAGTGTCAGAGAAATTAAAATACCTGGCCTCTAAGACTTTCATACATTATTATATCAAGGTCAAGGGAATAATGACAATACCCAGAGTATACAAAAGCATTCCTTGACACAAATGAAAAAAAAATTCTAGTGCATGCAGTGGAAGGTCCAATAGGCAAGTTGGCTGTGTCTCTGCAGCATTTTATGGAAACACATCACAGAGAAGCCTCTAGAACAGAACACAGAGACCCCTGAATGGGAACAGAACATAATGCAATTGTAGAGATGAAAAAAGGCCATGAAAGCACCTGCCTTCACTGACTGCAAACAGAAGCATTCCTTTCTTTAGCTGGTCATAGGGTATTGTAAACTAAGCACAGTAATTCAATGTGTCTCACCCTATTCAGAGAGCTGCACAAATACTGAGGCTGCCCTCTGCTGTTACCTTGAGAGTCCAGCTTATTTTAGAAGAAGCAGCTTTCAATAATGTTACCTTCAGAGTGCTCACTATTTTCTGATATTTCTTCAGTCTTTTTTCCCATCCAGTACACTGCTGAAACCAGTCAGACCCATAACCATTACTCATCAATTTGCTAAAATTTACAGCTTCACTTTTTCTCTGAGCAGGCTTGTAAATACAAATATATTAAAGAAAAACAAAAGCAAAAGTAAACAAAAATGGGGGCTAGGTGGAGAAATAATATTTTTCACAGAAAAGACATTATTATAAATAAATTATAAAATAATTTCTTTCTAATTATAACATTAATTTAAAAATATAACCATTTATAGCTTTATAATTTATAACAAAATAATGTAGAACATATGTTCTACATGTAATTATCTAAGAAGAAAAACAAAAATAAACAAAAAAAAAAGCACAGAAGTATGCCTGATTTAGTACTCTGTAAATTTATATGAGAAAAGCCATCTGTTTCATTGGAATTTTACATGTATAATGCTTACACAGTTCTGGTTTTAAAGACAAAAAGTGCAAAATGGAAATCCCACAAAGAATTTGTGAGTGAAAAAGGCTGACAGTATTCATTCTGTAATGCACAAAAGTGAAATTATGTCAAAAATTTTCTCTTAAATTCATTTGACAGTTTAAATACTTATTTGGCAGCATTAACATGGTTCTAAAACATACTAGGATTACTGATGACTGAGCAATATTTCTTTAGGAACAAGTATGCAGATACAATTCAGCTGTGAACACAGCTGATGATGTGATTACATCACATCACACATGACAAAAATTTGCTTAAAACACCTCTTCTAGGTGTTCATTAGAGTATTTTTGCTCTGTCTGATCTTATGGAGCCTACAGTTTATGTCTTTCCTTAAATCATCAGTCCTACTTGTTTCTCTGTAACCTACACAGACAGAAGTAACAATGTAGACTATCATTTTCACCTGTTCACTGGTATTAAGAAAAAACCCAATTTAGAATACCATAAAAGTCTGCTACATGAAGATATGCAACTCTATGCTTTGTTTTCATAACACAAAGTTGTATTGAATAATTTTCATATTTGAGTTAAAGTGCTATTATTATAGCTGCTTTAGACACTTTAAAAACTATTTTAGCATCACATATGATAGCAAATTTTACAGCAATTAAGATCCACAAGGTCCATACATATATCCACTAGTTCCTACAGCTTCACAAGGAGCAATTTTACCTGTACGCATGAATAGTTGCAGGCTTAGGTGTTTAATGATTTTCATAAATGTACTACTTATATGGGTGGGAAGGAAAGCTTATTTGTTCCAGTAAATTCCTTATTTGTAGAAACAGTTGGCATTCTGCTTGGATATTTAGGGCTTATAGGTGAGAACCTGTGCTAGAGAAATCTTAACTCAAACAAAAGGAGTTATGAAAAAAATAACCAAGAAGATAATATAATAACATAGCCTTCAAAAGTGAGGGTGATATTAAAGGCATAAATGTGTTCAAATTTTATGTCTTATCTACATTATTTCCATAAGTAATAGTAATGAACTATTGAGGAATAACAAAAGATAAAGCAGCCCCTTAGTTATTCTACATGAGATTAGCTGTTTGCTTTTTCCGCAATATCCTTTACACAAATCTTTCCCTCACAGTACACTTCTACCCAAAATTAAGCTTCAAATTCAAACGTATGCATTGCAACCTCTCATCTTGGTCCTTGATCTCTGTATGCAGAATATGAAAACAGATCACTGTTACTAAAGTCAGGAGGACTAGAAATTAACTTACAGTTCAATTGCTACTTCTTTTTTGGTTTGTTTGGTTTTTGTTTTTTAATAAAAAGCATAAAACATACTATATAATAAGAAAACTGTTGTGGTTATTAATTAGAGGTTTGATATTCAAACAAATACATATATATTAGGGGAAGCCTGCAGCAGGAAAAATATACTTTATTTTTATCATCTTCCCAATGACAGGTAAATAAATTCAGTATTGACTAAAAGACTGAAGGATGGCACCTAGAAAGCCAGGGAAAGACAACACACACTCCAGAAGTGAAAGTGGGAAAACCTGTAAGTAGTGGAGAAACATGAGCAACACATATCAGAGCTCTTTATCTTAACTTTGATCAAAATCAACAGCTGCTAAATGTCGCTCTATTAGGAACGGCGAGAAGAACGACACAGACTCTCTAGGGAGCTGATCAGGAGAATTTCTCTTGGTTTATTGCTTTAGATCTTTTTTATAGACCGATACATGAAAAGTACAGAAAATAAATTATTATTGGCTAGTAAACTAACACATCACCATCCTTGGTCAGTGGGGCTCACCACCCCTCGACCTTCTCTTGCAAGAAAACAAGAAACAGACAAACAGCACCTGCAAGGCTGTTTTCTGTCTCTGAGGATTGTTTTAATTCCTCCCCATGATTTCCCAGGCCACTTTCTCAGGCAAGACTGAGAAAGCTATGCGGCCTGCAATTTCCACAGGCACTGTGCTCTCTGTTTCACAGTTAGCATCCACAACTAAAGGGTCAACTTACTTCCCTCTCAAATAAAAGCATGAAATTAAATATAGTCAACAATTCCCAGATATTTGTCACTGAGAGTTGCTAAGAAATTATGAGTTAAAAAAACAAGACATCTTTAATGACTACAGCTTCCTTTGTTGCATGAATGGGGCAAGGGGGATGTGGGAACTGACAGTGGTTAAATAAGAGATTTTTAGGCTTCAGGCATTAGCTTGAGCCTGTGTGAAACTAGTTCTCATGATGACCTGAGAAACCATAGGGAGGAATCCAGACAGTCCTCAGAGAAGGAAAACAACCTTTGCAGGTGTTGTTTGGATCCTTGTTGTTTACTTGCAAGAAACAGTCAAGGGGTGTTGTTCCTAACTGTCCAATGATGGTGATGTGTTGGTTTAATGACCAACAAGAGTTTTACCTCTCGGACCTTCTCATAACTGTCTATAAAAGAAGATCTGGAAGAATAAAATTTGCTGTCTTGCACAATCCAGAGTCTATGTTGTGATTCCATTGTTCCTAATTTAGGGTGATAGGGGGAAATCCTGAAGACAGCAAAAATTTTTTCAAAGCTTATTAACAAAGTTTTTGTGTTACAGTAATATATCCTTTTAATTAGAACCTACATATTATTTAACTATTTTCTTTTTTAAACATGCAACACATGAGAGCACCCCATGGAATAAGATACATTAGTTGCAGATTATTTACTTCTGGTAACTAAAAGTGAAATGTATTTTTGCTCTGTAAACCTACAAGTACATTAAGGATAACAATACTTTCAACCTATGTGGACATAGCTACTGAAATACAGTTAACAGAGCAAAAAATAATGAAGTGAAAAAATTAGATGTGTCAACAGCAGTCACACTTGGATTGCAGACACTACAAAACACCCATGAAAACCTCTGTAAGAAGATTCCAAAATGTAAACACACCAAGGACTTCTCAAGGAGCCTGTGCACACTGAGTATGAAAAGAGCAAACAAAAGTATAATGGCCTTTGAACACATCTAATCAATGAAATAATTAAGAAACCACTAAAAAAGCAGATCTGAATGTTCAGAGAATGTAAGTTTTATTATCTGGAAGAAAGTGAAGCCTCAGACAGACAGTTGTATTGATTCTGAGCCAGGATGTAAATGCAAATGCATAAAAGTGCTGAAACCCCTTCAGACTTCAGTGGAGTCAGACTGGGACATTTGTCAAAGAAGAGATGAGATTAGCAAGAGCATGCAGTATTAGAGGCTAGAGCAGAGGCAGCTATGTGAGATGAAAAGGAGGGTCTTTGTCCAACCTGGAGGTTAAAAACCACATCAGCTGCTTAGAACCGCTTTTCAAGTTTGTTCACATTGTTTGCTGAAGCAGCCTATTTGTGCTTTACTTTCAAAAATGCCATCCTATTGTGCAGAAATGATATCACTGTCTTCCATCTATCACTAGACTGGACTACTTCAGACTTGACATGAAAGTTTCAGATCCAGGACACAATTACCTACAGTTTCAACTAACAAAAACAACCTCAGGTGACATTGGTCACATGCTGAAGGCAGAATGGCATGCGGGGCAACACAGAAACACAACTCAATTTGATAGTCAGGATACACAAATAGCAGAAGGAGATGAGATTTTCCTCTTGGCATCAAACAAAAGCACCAGGAAATGAGGTCTAGTAATTAAAGTGTTAGTTAAAGGACAAGGAGAGATTTTGACTAGAGAAAAATGTTCAAACAGAACATTGTTTGTTCTGAACACTGAAAAATCTTCAAACTGTCCAAAATAAAGTTAAGAAAAAAAAAGGGAAAGGAAAGGCAAAGAAAAAGGTCTTAAAGGCTGTGAGCAAGAGCATTGTTTTAAATGTTATCTTTCTCGGCATTAAATAAGAGGCTAGCATAAGCTGCAGGGATCCAAACACTCCCTACTGTTCAAGTAAACTAATTAATGACAAAAGTAGCAAGGAAACAGATCAGAATTTGGCTTTGGAGGGCAGCTGCAATCCATTCAGATGTTATCTGTTACTTTGTTAGGCAAATTCAGCATTAAAAGCAGACTCTTGTTCGACTACACTCCAATGATTACACCTGAGGGGGCTTTCTCCCTTTGAAAAAACTATTTAGCAGCCATCAATTTTCCCAGATAAACTACACAGGGCATTTTTTTTACAAACTACACAGGGCATCTTCTTGGTTTAAGGTGTTCTCCCCCTTTATGAAGAGATGGCAGCAATATACTCTATATGTTTATTATAAATATTATATTATAAATTTATTAATCTTGGATTCAAGAATCATAGCATAGAACATGTATTGTCCCTGGCTGGTATATGAAAAACAATGGCTATTTGCAGGCAGCATGGTAAAATAAAAGCCTCCAGATGAAATCCTGGCTCCTGCGCTATCAAGGACAAAATTCTAGATTACATTTCAAATCTCTCTCTGAGGTAAAATCCTGGCCTCAGATGAGCAATCACTTTAGTACAGCACATACATACATACCTAAGTACATATGCATACATACACAGACATTTCAGGCAAGTGCCTGAAAGAAAGGACTTTGGAGATGAAGGGCTAATCTTACTGGTGACACAGGGATATTGCCAAATGCTGATGCAAACCCTGGTAGCACCTCCAATTGACCTGTCCTGGGGTGACTTTATGATACTGGTATCCCCAATCGTCTGGTTTATGTTATATATTAAGTTCTGCACCTTTAAGACTGGCTTTGAGAGCAAGAGAGGGGGAAGAAGAAGCGCGCAGTTTGTGTTAAGGAAAAACATCACTCCCACACATCTCGCTCCTGGACTGTGGTGTCTGCAGCACGGACAGACAGCGGGACAGAGCTTCTCTCTGGCTTTTAGTTTTAGCTAGCTGAGGTAGAGGAGTTCCCTGGACCTTTGTTTTTTTTTTCCCTCCTTTTTTATCTCTTGGATCTGTGCAAGCCTGCTCTGGACTGAACACCCAGCCAAACCCCAGGAGCTCACGCCTGTGGCCCACCGGGGCCTGGGCCTTGGCACTTTCCAGCGCCGAAAGGACTGATAAGAACCTGAGCGAGCCGAGCTACACCACATGAAAAGGACTTTTCTTCCTAGACTTGCCATCCCATCGAACAGTGAGAAGTTTTATTATTTAATATTATTCAATATCTGTTAAATAAACAGCTTTTTCCACTTCTCTCCAAGAATTTTTTACTGTTTTTTGTTTTTTTTTTCTTCCCTTTTCCAGACCAGGGGTGGGGAGGGGGCATTTCCCTGAGGAAATCCCCATTTGGAGTTTTCCTCCCTAATTTGCCCTAAACTAGGACAGACCTCTCACCCATACAGGCCTCCCTCCTTCTTAAGGTCACAGCTTTTCCACCCAACCCACTGGACCATAAGATGCACAGGCAAAAGGATCACAGAATCACAGAAAGGTTTAGCTTAAAGGGTCATTAAAGATCACCTAGTTCCACCTCCCTGCCACAGGGACAACTTTCACTAGACCAGGTTGCTCAGAGCTCCATCCAGCCTGACTTTGAACATTTCCAGGGATGGGATGTCCACAACTTCACTGGGCAACTTGTGCCAGTGCCTCACCACTCTCACAGTAAATAATTTTTTCCCAGTACCTAGTCTAACCCTACTCTCTTTGAGTTTGAAGGCATTCCCCCTTGTCCTGTTACTACATGTCCTTGTAAAAAATGTCTATCTTCTTGCAGGGTCCCTTCAGGTACTGATATGTCACAATTTGGTCACCCTAAAGCCTTCTCTTCTCCTGAATGAACAATCCCAATTCTCTCAACCATTCTTCATAGGAGAGGTGCTCCATCCCTCTGGTCATCTTTGTGTCTCCCTCTGGACTTGCTCCAATAGGTGCAAGGTGCACAGGTCC